TTTCCTCACAGTTCTGGAGGTTGCACATCCAAGGTCAGGGTGCCAGCATGGTGGAATTCTGTTGAGACCCCTCTCCTGGGTTTCACACACCCACATTCTTATTGTGTTCACACATGCCAGAGAGAGAGAAAACTCTCTGGTGTCTCCTATGATAAGGATGCTAATCCTCATTTAGCCGTAATTACTTCTGTAAGAGCCCTATCTCCATATATGGCCACACTGGGGCTGAGGACATATGACTGGGTGGGGGTGGATGCAAACATTCTGTTTATGGTAATTACTGTGTTCTTTACAGCTATTGGTGTTTAAGCACCTGTAATAGTGTATCTACACATAAAAACCATTAGAAGACATTCCTCATTTAGAAGATAATCACTAATTAATAAGATACAAGGTGGATCGTATTATTAGTAAGATGCAAGGATGGGTTTGTGAGCAGGAGAAAAGAGGTCTTTGAATCTTTACTCAGATAAGGATATGGCAGGGTGGGGGGAGTTTTCTGCCACAATCTTGTTAAATTTCAGAGTTTGGTCCCCTGTGGACAGGAGGGAGTGTTCCCTGGGAGGAAGGGGGAGCCCTGACTGACAATAAGCACAGTGGAGGCAGAGAGCCAGGGCTGGTCAGCACTCGTGGCCCTGATGCCCCTTGCCTTCCCCACATCCTTCCATTGCCCCTGCATGGAGTTAACTGACCTCTCACCTCTCTGCTGAGGCTCCTCCTCCTCCCCCCTGCCTCTCACCACCTCTCCCTACAGGATCTCCTCATTCTGTTACTTTGTTTCAGGTCTACCTGGCATTCACAAGACTGTGTATGCCAACAGGGCCCTGGGCCAAAGAGCTTGCCAATGTTTCCCAATTCCTGGAAGGTCTCCTTTAAAGCTATGGAAAGGAAGATCTATAACTGCTGTCACCTGCAAGCTGGATATCACTGGCCCTGGCAAAAATCTATTAATTCCAATCTTGAAGTGCCAATCTTGTTTATGTCAAAAGTACTTTAGAGTTTTGCCCCATGAATAAATCTGAGTACAAAACCACTGGGGTCGATGGCTATGACTCCACAGTAGGCAGGAATTTGGGAATCTAACCTTTCAACAAGGCCCCATTTCCTATTCAGAATCTTCCTCTTTTCTGCTCCTCCTCTTCTCTGTGAGTGGCACAATCTATCACCATCACCCGAATCTGGGAGTCGACCCAACCTCCAAGTCCCTATCCTCACTAGTCAGCCCAAAGCCCTGGGCTTTCCTATACCTGTTCTCTCTACGCTCACCTCTGTGTCAAGAGGAAAATCTGGAGAAGACATCATTTTCATTTAGAGTCAGCCAATGAGGGGTACACCTGCCTGGCTCAGGCTTGCTATGTTTCGTGACCATAGATACAGTACTGGCTTGGGGCTGCTCAGAACATTTTTCTACCAATCTCCTTTTGGCAGAAAGCCCCACATCCTTAGATATGGAGTGGGTAGTGACCAAAATTTAACTGATTCTTTCAGTTATTCAACAAATATTTACTGAGTACTTACTATGTACCCTACATACTATTGTAATACAGTATTCAACAAAAGAAAACAAATCACTGTACTCATTCAAATAAGGGAAACAAATATACTTATCAAGTGATAATGACAACCCTTCCCTGGAACTGGTCTATGAACATTAAGAAACCACAGTTCCTTTCTTCCCCCACCGGGGAGGCCAGACTGGAGGAAATGCACATAGCCCTTTCTCTGACCACAATAAGAAAACCTGTTTCTAGTAGAAGAGTGATTCAGAGGGGAAACAATATAAGAGATGAAAAGAGAGCGCACCCTGACTATATTATTTGACTCCTGGATCCAGCCACACCTGAAGTCTACATTAGATTTTCCTACTGCATGAGCCTGTAAGTTCTCTTTCCTGCATAGGCTTATTTGAGTTGGATTTTTGTTAAAGATCCCTGTATAATCTCATTTCTTCTGTACAAACAGGAATTTCTAGTCTCAGGGGAAGCTGTATGCCTGAGTGCTTTATTACACACCTAGAGTTAACAACAATAGCTGCTGTTCATGTGCCAGACTTCTGAGAGCTTTACCTCAATTAGTTTAATCTTCATATCAACTCTATTAAAAGGTGTTGTTACCATACAGGTGAGGAAATAGTGATCAATACAATTGACTTGGACACTATCAGGCTCTAGGCAGTGGGAGAATCATAATCCAAACTCAGTTCTCTGGCTTGAAGTCATCTGTTCCACTGGGCAAGGAGACTGGAGCCCAGCTCATGCCCAGGGCAGCACCAGAGGACCTGCGTTTCTACAGCTTCTGTCCTAGTGCAAGCCTGGGAGTGGTCCTGCATTGTACCTGAAGGATGCAATCACAGGAATTTTACTATATGTGAATATGGTGAGTTATAAATCAATTTAGGGTTATTCATAACATGCTATGCTCTGGGGAAGACTTTAAAATCAACATTGGGGAAGAAAATTATCTAGTATTTCACCATTTCTCAACTGCCTCTTATATCCTTTCCACCTATCTATTGCAGACTTTTAACCTTGACTTCTTCTGGCATACAGACAAGCAATTCCTTGGCAGTTAACCTAACTAGAGAGGCATAGTTTTCATTAATCTGCTCAAAAAGCCTCATCTTCTCCAAAGAATTTCTCTTGTTTCTTTTTTCTCTGAGATTATCACACTGGTCCCATCGTGGGTGAAAGCTCTTTTTGGTCTTGGGGCACAAAAGGAGAACTTTGTGTTAAAATCAGATCAGAGTTATCCAATGCATCTTAAAAAATCAGAGAAGCTACTTTTAAACATTACAGTACAAAAAAAAAAACCTTCCTCAAAAAGAATAATATTCTATATTGTTGATAATTTCACTTGCAGGATTATTGTTGTAAAGATTATGTGAGAAAAATCCCCACTGCCAATTATGTACCAATACCCTACCAGGCACATGACACATGCATATGTTACATTAATTAATTAATCAGCAGTTTTCTCAGCTGGCACAAATGCCCTGTCCTTCTTGAGTAATTGCCCACTGATCACCTCCTCTCTACAACCAACCACTGGGTCTTTAATTCGTATTAAGTATAAAACACAGGTCACAGAATAGTACCTATATTTGGTCCTATTCTTATAGTCCTATTTTTATTGCACCTTACATGTAATAATATTAGGTCAAAAGAGAAAGAGACACCAATATTTTATTAATTGTTATAACCGGACAGTAGATGTGGGAGTGATTTTTTTTATTCCTTTTGTTTACCTGTAATCTCTAAATTTTCTACAAAACTTAGACAAGAAAAAATATTTTAAATGTTAATACCAAAAACTGTAACCTCAGCTCTATGATTACACCCAGAGCTCACCCTGGGCTGGTGCCAAAGTGGGAACTGAGAAGGAGGAAGGAGCTGGACTCTTCATCCACTGTACTTCCACGGCAGGAGTTCTAAGCAGCACAGGTCAGAATGACTCTTTTCTGTGACTCCACATAGGCTCTATGACATTACGCCAGCTATCAGCGGAATACCCACAGTAGCCAATAAATAAGGTCTCCCACCACCACCATCTTTTTCTCCCAAGTGCTTAACTTTTCACTCCTAAGAGTCAAGATAAAATTATCTCATGGAATTCAATCAATGAAAACCTTTTATTTAGAAAATAGAACTCTTTTCTTTC